AGAGGCAGTGTGTTGAAAAGGACTTAGTGTGTAGGTAGAAGAGGTGAAGGAAAGGTGATGACAGTCTGGGGTGCAGTGTGTAGGAAGGTGACAGTATGGGGTGCAGAGTGTAGGAAGGTGACAGTGTGGGGGGCAGTGTGTTGAAAGGTGACAGTGTGGGTAGAAGGGTGAAGGAAGGTGACAGTATGGGGGGGCAGTGTGTTGGAAGGTGACAGTGTGGGTGGCAGTGTATAGGAAGGTGTGTTGGAAGGTGACATTGTGGGTAGAAGGGTGAAGGAAGGTGACAGTGTGGGTAGAAGGGTGTTGGAAGGTGACAGTGTGGAGGGGCAGTGTGTAAGAAGGTGACAGTGTGGGGGGCAGTGTGTTGGAAGGTGACATTGTGGGTAGAAGGGTGAAGGAAGGTGACAATGTGGGGGACAGAGTGTGGGGATGACAGTGTGGGTGGGCAGACTAACAGACAACATACCCTTACTGATACTCACTGACAGTCATTGTCTCACACACTGTTTAACTAACACACACGTTCACTGACAGACACACACTGACACGAACACACTCTCAGAGACACATGCACACACTGACATTCACACACTCACAAACAGACACACACCAAACGGAGGCAGTGCAGCTCCTTCCCGCTTCCCCCTTCCTGTACAGCAGTAACCCCGACCGATGTCTTCTAGATACATTTAGCCCCACCCTCACATCAGTTAGCCCCACCCCTGCCGCATGGTAAGCCCCACCCCAGCAACAATGTTTTGTTTTTTTAAGAATCCTGGGTGGAGGATTCATTATTCTCCACCAGTGATTATTAAAAAAACAAACACATTTCCCTTGAGACAGTGCCTGCATCTAGGGGGGCACAAAGCGGGGCATGGCATAATGTAGGGGGATCCATGGTCCCCTCTGGACCCCCAAGCAACGCCACTGCCACGCTACCACACTCAGCCAACCCCCAAAACAATTACAATCAGCCACTCGCCACACATAATCACACTCAGCCAACCCCCCCACACACACATACACAGCCAGACGCCAATCACTCTCTGCCATCCGCACACACAGTCTCACATTAAGCCTGCCACCATACAACCCTGCAGCGATTTAGGCGATGGTGATATGTGCCTTGGGATTGTCATGCGTGCAGCAATCTGACAGTCTCTTTTACAGATAAACTGAAAAAAATACCATAGACCGCTGCTTTAGGTGACTTCCAATCTTGTTTTTATGGTGTTCTCAAACTTCTAACATTAAGATAAAAGCAACAGTCAAATGGGTTAATTTTACATATCAAAAGAAAGACCCTAATTGGAAAAATCCATGCCTGCATTCGACAGATTGTTACGTTGTGATTTATCTAGAATAGAATGCATTGAGCTTATCCGTTTCCCCTAAAGGATTGTACTGCAGTAGTCATTGAATCATCGTCAACCTCAGCTTATTAATCAAAGAGGAACGCAAAAACCATTGGAGTGTATAGGGCATACAGGAGAATGTTGGGATTAAATGTGAATAACAAAGATAAGTATCTGAAAATTCAACGTGTTTATTTGTAAATGTGAACCCCACAAAATGCAGCTGCAAAAATGTTTTAAAAATGTACGAACCCTCAAAAAGATCTCCCATAAGGGGATGCTTACCATGTCACGTCAGTAAGACTTTGTTACACTTTGTGTCTCTTCCTACGGATGTGTGATGTTCCCAATGACAGGTGCATGTCCTAGTAAGATCTATTGGGGGGGAAATTAGTCCACCAGAGAGCCACAAGCAATCGAAGCATCTGGCAGGAGGAAAGAACAACCTCTACTTCTTCAAAATCTGTCAAAAGTAATTAGACTTGCCAGAAGTCATTGCTATCAGCATTTAGTTAAATAAGTTCCTCTGATCCTTTCTATCTTAGGAAAGTCAAAACTAATACAAGAAATCACAAGAAACATCATTACTGAACGCATTAAAATGTTGATAAACTGCTTGCTGCCCAGCTTGTTAATATGTAATTTTAAATATGTCAAAATCAATTAGCATTCCATTGGCTCTTTGTATCCCGAGTAAAACGTTCCATTTTGTGCTATAATGCCCACACACGCTTAGTCAAAGCATTACGAGGTTCGGTAATTCACAATCAAGAATATATAGAACTACTTTACTGGAATATACGCTAAGCTTGTGTATAGTTCTGTAAAATTAAAATTATATTCCATTGCTAAATATATAAATACGCCTGCTGTTGGCGTCGGTTTAGGAAGCTATTTGTTCAGTGTTTCAATCTGCCGGCTTGAAAGGAAGCTAAATGAAAGACTGGAATTCAAAGAAATTCTTTCAACTAATGCGTGTGTCTACGTATTTATTAATTATGTTGTACAGAAACGCTGACAACTTCAGCAAAGACCAAATTTTACATTATAGATCAGACAGGATTGCTAGATATAAGTATTAACTGTTGAGGCTAGAAATTAAACCACAAATTGTGGGGATTTGAGAAAGGTATTGCATATTCTAGGTCACATTGTCTAGTGTAGCAATTTTGGTCAAAAAAGTTGCCATTCGCATGACGGTTGTCCAATATTTCGGTTCTAGGCTCAGATTAACATAGGGACTGGTGGAGCTCCAGCCTTAGACACATGCTCTTGTAATGGTCCTGTGGAACCTAATTAAAATATTAATAATATATTTTTTTAAATATTATTATTCCCTACACACACACATGCACACATGCACACACGCACACATGCACACATGCACACATGCACACATGCACACACACTGATATTGTTCTATCACGTTGTGCAAATGAGGAGGTCAGGATCTGAATACCAAAACTGCTTCATTAAGTTGCTTGATGCTTAGAATGTTCCCTTAAGCCCACTCTTTCTGTCTTTCGTTCCCAAATTGCAGTTTCAATTTTTGTTCCCATAATACGGTTGCAGGTAATGTCATCTGGGAAAGGAACATGTGCTTTTTAAAGTTTACATTAAGCAAAGACAGATAATAGCAGCGAAAAACAACTGCTGGATTAACAGCCTCACAGGCCTGACAAGTATGATGGGCCTAAATACAGATTCATTGTTAACAAGTTCTTACAGCACAGTGTGTTCACTTTTAAAGTTCTTATCTCCTGCTTTATTAATCAAAGTTTAACCACGAACAGGAGGCTGTTGCAAGCTCTAGCAGGCAATCAAAGGGGCATGATGTGCTTGCTGATGACAGACGGCAAACATGCACAAAACTGACATTAACCAGCCCAGAGCTTTTTTTCTAAGCTGGCTAATGATACCCCAATGATGCTGCCTCTGGCAAAAGAGAGGTTAAACTCTTGACTGGTGTATAGTCGCCATATGGGCAGTCGGAACCTTGGACAACCAACCCACATACCTATCCCCAATAACACGCTGACACTAGGAATATGGGAAAAATTGTCCACAGCTTTATTAACAAACAGAAACGATACTAATAATTTAACATATATAACACATGGGTCATTGCCCCCCATCCTCCGCCCTTGCATCTATACCTTCATTAAATATCAGGGCAATGACCCAACATAAGCAACACATAAATATATATAAATAACACTTTAACTTTACTCCAACATGAACCGATTTGAATGCAACCATAAGTAACCACGGTAGGGGTATACCCAGATACCCCTACCCCACCAGGTTCTGAGCCACCTCCAGGACTCGAAACCCACCATCGACCAGTGACCACAATTCTTCATGTTCCTCACGTTCCTCATGGAGAGCCTATTTTTCCTTCCCTAGCTCTCTATCCCGCCGCTGTGACAAAACGGGGTAAAAGAAAACAAACACATTACAGGGAGGGAGGGAGGGACAAACACAGCTAGGTAGAAATTAATGTGCACATTTTTTAAAATGGCTGCCTAATAAATAGCCAGCCCCCATCCCATAATCCCACAGTCCTGCTTGGTCCCTCCTATGCCCGCCTCCTAACCCCTGTCAAGGCCCTTTTCCGCTAAGCTGCGCTCTGGCTACATGGGGCTACAGTATCTGCAGCGTTTCATAGCAAAATTTTGCATATACAGATTCCAAGCACCATCACCAATTCAAATCACTGAAGTGGTTGTGGTGTTTGGAGCAAACCTTTAACTCATAAATGACAAATAACTGAGCAGGGCCACAATCTATATACTATCATTGCTTTATTTAGTAAAGTTGGTTTGGTGACTATTGTGTCCCTTTAAGCTAAAGTTGTTTAGGAGTTTACAGTGTCCCTTTGTAGAGCAGAACTATTGTAAACCTAACTCGTGGGAGCCTAGAATGCCCCTTTAATCCGATAATTCCATTACTGTTAAACAACACAAATAATACCAACAAATGTCTTTCTCTGACGGTTATTAACTAAAGTGTGACTTGTCAAAAGTGAATCCAAAGTGGTTTTCAAATGTTAGACTATAATTGTCAAACAAGACACTGGTTAGATTGCCTGTAATGTGAAATCACTTTAAACTCTTGATAAATCATACTTTGGTAAATAGCCCTGTCTGTACTGGATAGATGGCTTTCCACACAAGGACTTGTCCAGTAAGTACCACGTTTGTGCATATTCATTTTTGAAGTCACATCCGGACTCCCACTCCTATGTTTCTCAAGGACAGATAGATTTTTTTCACACATGACCAGCAGGGTACCAGATGCTTGGCAGTGTCCTACTGACTCACAAACACAGGTGAGCAAGATATAAAACAAATGACTGATCAAAACACCTTCCAAGCAGGAAAATGTACCTTTTGCAGAAACTGAGGAACAATTCAGTCGGCAGGGGGCAAAAGTTAAACCTGGAATTTTTAGTATATAAAAAATGCAATAAAATTGCCTGAGCGGCAATCAGATGACTGACAACAGACGCAGGGCGCACTCAGCCGACTCAGAGAAGATGTAGAACGAGTTCTCTAAACAGAGGCATGAGCTGCATGGGCCGAAGACGGTCCTACCGAACTCGGTGGACCACATGATGAAGTGTCTGGACAAAGCATTCGAGAGATTCTGGGAAAAGCTGGAAGCTCGGATGTGAACCCCACAGACTCTACAACGGGGAAGTGTGCGAAACAGCAGGAGCCACGGAGAGCCTGGGTCTCCTCAGGGCACAACAACCCTACAAGCATCGGAGCAGCCAAATTCAGGCCCACCTGGGCTGCGGGCCACTCCGGCTACAGCCAGAAAGCAACGACCGCAATGGTGGAGGCCAGGCACCCACAAGCGGCGTTGGATCACCTGAGGCCCCCACAGCCCCCCGGCAGGGAAGGACTTACTTTACCAAGACGCCAGGGCCCACAGACCCCGGATGCAGGCTCCCTCTCAGGCACCGGGAGGTGTGGGCGACGGCCCGGCACACCCCACTCAAGCGGTAAAACCCAGAGTCACCCCCACAATACCAAGCCTAGGCATTGGCTGAAAGGGTCATTCTGCCCCGAGAACATCGCCCCCCCTTCTAAGGGACGCTTCCCAGGGACACATGACAATAAACCGCAGCTGCCACCACAGAGATCCGGTGTACTAATCTACAAGCCTGCTAATGTTGACATCGATATTATGTTTTTATTGTTTCTCTGAATGCATGCATTTCTATAATCACATACTATGCTATGATGGGGCAACCCAGGGGTTAATACCACGACTATCTCACTATTCTCCACCCATGGTCCATTATTATGCACCCTATCCCACCAAATGGGATCCTGAGTCCAACCACGCAACAAACCAGGAAAAGCCACAAATGTATTGAAAAAGACAAACGTAATAACGATATTTCGTGCAGCAGAGGTGTTTTTTTTTTTTATGTGTGTATTTTTAAATAACCCTTAAATTATATTCTAACCAATAGAACAATGGTTACAATTATGTTGCCTTCTTGAAAACACAACTATTGGGAAGCTAGAACATTTTGTTTATGCAGAAAGAAAGGGAATAAGCTATTTTTAAACAATATGTACATTATCTGCAGTGATAATTATGCTCCAATTATCCCCGAACATAAAGAAATAAAGAAGTTGCTTGTCAGTGTGTTGGTTATAGAACGCAAGATACAGCGGTGTAATAACTGATATATCTGACATTTTGCAGAATTCAGAATGTCCTGAGTGAAAAGTCTCCAGGGTGTTCAACATATCTCTGTGCCCAGCAGAACATGGCCAAGTATACCCACGTTAGGAGATATAACTCCACCGTGTGTTGTGTTGAAAAAGGAACAATTAGCACTTATCTGACGGTGTTCTGTACAATACTTATCTGGGTCCAGCATACCAATGATTAGACAGCAAGCATTCTGCTGGCAGTAATCAATAAGTCTCAGTTTTATTCTTTCATTGTAGACTTTCTGTTTGGATCCTTGCCCACAGAACCTCATTATGCTTTTGTTAAACAGCTTCCCTTTAGTCATTATATTTCCTGAAACTACATAATAAGGTTTATGTTATGGGATAGCGTGTACCGCAGTTAGAATGAGAAGATATCATTATTGGGAGCAGAGCGCCACATTACAATATGCTGGAAAACTCCGAATATTACTCAAGGTGTTTGGAGTATTACACTCTGTTCTAAACTCCTAAACAGATTACCTCGAAAAATAATGAATTTAGGAAGGCAGTTTTCTTCCCTTTTGGTTTGGAGAGCGCATACCCCGTCATTATTGCAATTTTGCAGAGCGGCATAATGTAATATTAGTAAAATTACTTTATTTACATGTTATATAATAAGGAGTGAAATGTCAAAATTAAAGGAAAATGGTGCTTCAACAGTAATTGAGCTTCAACTACCTTTAAAATGTGTGCTGTGTCTCTCGCTGCAGCATACGCTGCAAATTCTTACCTCTGTGATTATTAAATTATTTTATTATTTTTTTAAATTATAAAATATTTTGGAAAGCTTATATATATGTAAATGGATACGTTTAGTGCATCTCCTGCTTTACCCCTTGCTCTTTGGAGGAAGTCATCTGAAGTGATGGACAAATGGTAGAACCCCAGCTGGCAAAGCATTGTAGGAGTTGTGCAACAAATGGGGATCTACCATTTGTCACCCTTGTGCTAGACGGGGGGGGCGAAAACAATTTCCTGCCCCAGGGCCCTGTCTACATTAGTTCTGCCCGTGAGTCCAAGAACATGAGGTATAGACGATATACTCCCATGCAGCAATGAGGGTCAAGGACATCTTTTAATCTTCTTGCCAGCCTCTTGTGCATCAGGTCACCACCTCCGAAAATGGTAGCACCAGGCCTTGATATCTGCCCAGGGCCTTTACTCCCTAGGCAAGTGCCAAGGTTTGCCTATTAGACAAGTAGATGAGTAAGTGTGAGTCGTCATATCTGCCCAGGGCCTTTACTCCCTAGGCAAGTGCCAAGGTTTGCCTATTAGACAAGTAGATGAGTAAGTGTGAGTCGTCATGCATTCGTGCATTCTGCTAGTCACTGTATCTGAATTTTTCGATGTGCTACAATAAAGTTGAGAATGTTTTTTCTCTGGACAAAGTTGCCTTTGACTTGTTGGAATCTCCGTGATGCACATTTGGATGTAATAGACGAATCAACTCTGGACACAATTCCTTAACCACAAAGGGCTAAACGACAACATAAAAAAACATCGGGGCCCCTGTTGCAGCAATTCAAATACATTGTTCACACAGGGATCTCTGAGGACCATACAGAAAAACTGGAGGCGCAGCTGGAGATGCTATGTAAGGAAATGAGTTATTAAATAAATAAAGGAAGGGTTTTAACTTAAAGAGGTATTGTAATAGTGCACATTCTTGGAACATACCCTGACATAGTGGAAAATAAATGTTCAAATCGTTTATTAATCTGTTGCCTCTTCTTGAAGCATCCAAAGTCTAAAAGATTATTTTTAATGGTAAACCAGCTAGGTAAAACAGTTTAGGGTGAACTCACAAAATAGGGAGCTGTGGTAAGTTTCAAAATATAAACTTAAAGGAACATTATGGGCACCATAATCACTTCATGTCAATGATGTGGTCTGGGTGTCATGTTGTCAGGATTACTGTTTGATCCAGCACGTAGAACTGTACAGCACGGATGACAAATAAGTAACGTATTACTGGTCCTTACAATGGCTGGATTTAACGTTCATAGAATAGTCAAAAATACTAGCCGAGGTCAGGTAACACAGAAAGGGACGCAGCGATGAGGAAAGCCAGGAGTCAGGATACCAGAATATGGATAAGTCAATAAACAAAGCCAAAGTAAAAAAACAGGTAGAAAACTAATAACAGGAACGCGCTCTCGGACAACCACAAGGGAAACCACGACAGGGCACTGAGCAGGATGAGAACTGGGCCTAAATGACCCTCCTTTAGTTCTGATAGGCTGTAACCGGCCTTTGACCCCAAGTCAGTTACCAGGTTTCATTTGCATAATTGTTGCTCAGCAATAAGCCTTCTGTGGATTAGGTTGCTGCTCGGCACAACTTTTCCTGTGTGGACAGTAAATGTAATTAAAACGGAGGAAGAGTCTGCGCTAATTCAATTGAGCAGCAACCCTAAAAGGGAAATCCCTCACGGAACCCTTATGTAAGAAATGTGAGAAAAGAGGGGGTCAAGGGCTGCGCTTAGGTAAAAAAAAATATGTTTAAAATATATAAGATCGTGTATTGTAAAATAAACAGCGATAATAAAATCAAATAAAGTTCATCCGGATTTTTTTTTTTTTTTTAAATATAGAATAAAAACAGTCTCACTGATATGCAGTACCACGATATTAATCCTCAAGTATGGCTCCGTCCGTGTGGTAGGTAGTCCATATATGTGAAGATAAAAAACAAAAGAGAAAGCTGCCTATGGTGAAATATTGTATATCCTGATGTGGTATATATTCAAAGGAAATATATTTCACTCACATTTGGTGGAGCTTATTGCCAGCTCTGGGAGAAAAGACACTTAGTGGTTTGATCCCCACTAACGGATATACTTGGATGGTCCGTCTGTCCGGCTTGGAATTCCTGTGGTATCAGCTAGGATCTACTTCAGATATGTGTTGATTCCTTAATGCTTGGAAGATAGGTCCGCCTTTCCAGTATCGGATAGTAGGTGTCCACGGAGTAAATATAAAACAGCAAATAGTGCTCTCAGTATGAACAACAAAGTAATATCTTTAAGTGAGTTATACTTACAAGAATAGAGCAGATGGGTACTGCTCTATTGCCACAGCGCTGGTGGAATTATCCCCACCTAAGGATTTCTTTGGACGGAATATACTTTGGGGTTTTCTCAAAGATGGGTACTGCTCTATTGCCACAGCGCTGGTGGAATTATCCCCACCTAAGGATTTCTTTGGACGGAATATACTTTGGGGTTTTCTCAAAATACCATTTTGAGAAAACCCCAAAGTATATTCCATCCAAAGAAATCCTTAGGTGGGGATAATTCCACCAGCGCTGTGGCAATACCATACCAATACCATTTTGAGAAAACCCCAAAGTATATTCCATCCAAAGAAATCCTTAGGTGGGGATAATTCCACCAGCACTGTGGCAATAGAGCAGAACTCTGACTCCCATCAGCCTGAGCCAGTCACTGGACTCCAGGGAAGTCACCCTACTGCACCTAAAAGGTAGTAAACAGGAGGGTGACTAAAACATTTTGCATGTGTGTGTCTGTATGCATGTGTCTCTGTATGTGTGTGTTTGTGTCTCTGTGTGTGTGTCTGTATGTATGTGTGTGTCTCTGTATGTGTGTGTGTGTGTGTATGTGTGTCTATGTGTGTGTGTGTTTGTTTTTTACATTCTTTATTTTTGTTAGTGCATGTTTAACAGATAGGCTTTCGTTGTTTAACAGATAGGCTATGCGTTGGAAGTCATATATCATAGAACGTCTGAGGAACTGCACTTTTTATAATAACATGCTGGTCTGAAATGATTAGAGACATAAGAAAACATGACATGTGTACAGTAATAATTAAAGGGTGAAGCGTTAAATCTGTGCAACTTTTGTAAAGAGGAACAAGCTTTGTAACTGTAGCGTAAGTGAACAACTGAATACACCACCCTGGGCAGCCCTGGTGAGACTGTAAGGATATCTTATATAAATGGTATCATAAGTGAGTGAATTAAATCACCTGATTCATGCCAGCAGAAATTAGGATTAAGGGACAGATTAACAAATTTAGGCAAGCTAATATAGCAAAGATACCCTGACGCCACCACAATTTCTCCTGACTGTGTGTGATGGGAGGTTGAGCAGAGCATCTATTGGGTTA